TATATATATATATATGTAATAACACATCCATATATAAAGCTAATAAAAATACAGATTAAAAAAAGTAATCTCAGATAATCGAATATTTTTATCTTACAAATATATACACAGTAATATATTAAAAATTAGAACTATAATATTAATATTAAATCCTATTATTATTATTATTATTATTAACATTTTTAATAATATTACTAAGTAGTTGTAAAAAATACGTATTTGTGTATATAACTTCGTATTTAAACACAAACTAGTCGATCTTAAACGATCACTTTGTAAAACACTGTAAAAGATAAAAATTCTATTGTTTTGTTTTAAACAAATTATGATTGGTCCCGATAATCATCATAGTATTTGATTATCATTGATGTTTTCATTTATTACCTAGAATTTGATCTTCTCTCATTTTTACACATCACGTTCATTCGTGAGTAAACGTTAATTGATAAAAAAAAATGAAATAAAAAAAAAAAGTAAAATAAAAAAAAGAAAAAAAAAAAAGAATTTATTCCAAATTTTTATTGCAAATAGTTCATAATCGTACTATCATTTCATTTCTTGATAAGAAATAAAACATTTTCTACACGTTAGATCGTTGTATATGTTGATTTCTTCTAGCAAAACAATACGCACAAATTGAACACAAAAATATCGAAAGACTACCCCATTTTAATGCAGCTGTAACAATTGTTGTTGCTAAATGTGCGCCGGAAAATATATTAACAAAATCTTGAGGAAGTTTGTCTAATGTATTTTCACTCCACATTAATGGTAATATCGAACCGTCCTTGATTTTATCCGAAAATGGTACACCAATAGCTTTTTTCACTTCAACATTTAATTGCAACCTCAAAGATCCGTTCATTGGTATTGCTAAAAACTGAAAAATTTATGAAAAAAAATAGAAAAATGAGAAAAAAATAAAAAACACACACAAACACACACACACATACATACATATACACACACATATACACATATATCACAGTATAATACATCATTTTGATTTTGTGTTTTTAATCCTTTCGTTACGGCCATGTTTTTTTTCAGTAGCATTTTATGGAGAGCCACTATAGTGGCATGTAGTAGCAAAAGGGTTAAATGAACAATAAAAAAATTGATGATATTGTTTTTTACCTGATGTAAATCAATGGTACTTTCATGAAGTTCCTGTTCGGGTTTCAAACCATCGACAGAATTGATCAAAGATTCATCGGCACCATAAAAATGTGGCATAGATACGAGTACAGGTAAATCATCATAACAGCTTGAAATATTTAGTGTACCAGACGGTGGACATTTCCTTTCGTTTGAATCCAAATTTACTATTGGACAATAACATGTCTCTTGTGTGGATACTTGAAAAGAATCCAATGACATTTTGTATCTGTATAAAACAGATAAGATATTATTAAATACAGTTAATCAGATTAAATGTATTATTTTATAAATAAACAAATAAATTTATATATATATATATATTAGGGGTGTCCCGCCACGCGTTGCTGTGGCTCACAATCAGTCCGATTATACCGCTATCTGTTAGAATCTTATCGAACTAACAGAGATAATCATGACTATTTGTTAATAAACAAATAATATTGGGATATAAACTATTCTATCTTTCAAGTTGGATGAAACTGCACACAGTGTGTAATATTTTATCAAAATCGGTTTAGTAGTTTAGGAGTCCATTGTGGACAAACAACGTTACATGTAATTTATATATATTAAGATATATATATATCACATAATTAAAATATTAATTATACATAACTAAAATAATAATTATAATTATATACTATATTAAATAAATATAATATAGTATTTAAAATAATATTTAAAATAATATTTAAAACACTGTATTATTTTAAATATATATATATATAACATAATAAAAATATTATATTAATTAAATATAATTAAAATAATATATATATATATATATTAAAAAAGAAAAATAAATAAATTAATATAAAATATTAATAAAACTAATTACTTGAGACTAGGAACACCTTGAACTTGGTTGTAATCGTGAAAATTGAATTTCATTTGTTTACAAAATTCTTTAATGTATATGTACAATGGTGTACTTAGATTTTGAATCCATTTAGGTGGAAACATGGTACCATCTGTACCATAAATTTTATCACATTTCTCGTCACCCCAAATATTTAAAATATCCTTCCCATTGATACTTTGAATGATACCAAGATTATCAATATCATGGGCGCCAGTATTTATCAATAAATGATCTTCCAAAAGCCCATGAGACTAAAATCAAAAAGTACAAACAACAAAATTTTACTGTCATTTTTGTTTAAACACAGATAATTGTTTTGTTTAACAAAATTAATTAAATAACAGTAGGAATAATTATTGTTAAATCGTTACTTTTAAATAAGACTAATGTTATTATGTTTAAATATGAAAAAAAAATAAAATTTAAATATAAACAAAAAAAAAAAAGCAATTCTTTTTGACGTAATTATAAAAAAAAAGAAATATTAAATTAAATTTATTCATTTAATTAAGTTAAATATTCAAATAAGAACAATAATATAACTTTGAACAAATGAAACATTTTTTTTTTATTTAATTATAAAAAATATTAAATAAATTTATTAACTTAATTGAATTAATTAATAAAAAAAAAATTGTAACTTTAGCAAATGTAACAATTATTTTACGTAATTATAAGAAAATATTAAATTAATTTGTTAATGTAATTAAATTAAATATTCAAAAATTTTGTTAAACATATTAAATTAAATATTTAATAATTTGTTAATTTAATATAAATTAAATTTTCCAAAAAAAATCTAATTTTATATAAATGAAACCTATTTTTTTGCGTAATTATAAAAAATATTAAATTAATATAATAATTAATATTTGTATATTTTTAATTTATTATTTTATATAATTAATTTAATTATTATAATAAATAAAAATATATTTATAATTAAATTAATTATATAAAATAATAAATATTAAATACTAATTATACATATTATCTTTCTTTTTTTTTTTTTACAGTAATATTCGTTACTGTAATTATTAAATATTATAATTATTAAATATTTAATTTAATTAAATGAAAAAAAAAAAAACAATTATTTTATATTTTTAATAATTACCTAAAAGAATTGTTTCATTTATTTAAAGTTAGATGTTTTTTTTATTTTTTTCATAAATTAATTACATTTTCGTGAAAAAAAAAAATAACTATACAGTAAAATAACCAAAAAAAATATATATATATATATAAATATTTACTTGTACTAGAATACCAAATTTGTCACTTGGAATGTTTACGTATCCAAAAGTTTTCAAAACATTATAAAGATTGTCATCATATCCCCATAGAAAACCACTAACTGTGGTTTTAATGAATGGTTCGATATGCATTGTAGATATTGCTATGGTAACCATTAATCTACTGGCATAATTTAAATAACATACTGATGAAATAACCATTAATAATAATATATTAGGTACTATTATTATATCATTCTCAGGATTTCCACCTTCCAATTTATACAATTTCTTCTCTTGATAACTGATCGTACCATTTTCATGCATTTGCGTATTAACACGCATTAAAGTTTCCCTATAAGAATATGGTCCCAATTGTTGGACTCTCAATTTATTAGCTTTACCACTTTCAAAATCTTCAACGTTTGTGTAATTGTAAATATAAAAATTTTGTAACAATTTAACTGGTGGATGGGACCAAAATTCATATGATCTGGTACCATTTTGTAATATTAAATTGGACAATATAATATTTTGAAAAATATTAGTCAACCAAAATATGATTACTAAGAAAAAACTTGACAATCCTGCCATTATAATGGCCCAAATGTACCAATTTCGTTTAAACAACTTTGTCTCATCTTTCACAACGTTTTCCGTTTTTTCTATTGACTTCATTTTGTATTCACGTTTGATTGATCAATCAATCAAAAAAAAAAAAAAAAAAAGAAAATGTTTCTAACTTTAAACAAATTAAATTTTCACTTATTACAGATACACACACACACACATACAGTACACTGAAAAACTTTGACAATTTTCTTCAGTAAAATCGCACACAATTGAAGTTCAAGTTTGATCAATGAATATCAAATAAACTCATTGAGATGAACGTCTGTTGTATTATTGTTGCTGTATAAGCGCACATCTGTGTATATATGTGGTTAATTTGAATGAGGATGTAAGTATGTAAGTGTGTATGTGTGTGTGTGTGTGTGTTGTGTGTTTAACGTAATAATATCGAACAGATTATAACCGTCGTACTTGTTAGATCGATGAAGACCAACTGATTCGTCTTCCAACAAAAATCCCCCTACTTTTTCAACTTTCCTTAGGTGATAACCTTTTAATATGACCCTATGGATGATGCTAACACCTCGCCAGATACATGAAGTTAGAACGTGAAGATTCAGTCATCAACAATCAGTCAATAATTCTCGATATCATCTGAAAATATTCAACGAAATTTTATTATTGACAATTTCTATCAATTAGCAATGATTTTTTGTTTTTGTTTTAAATCAATTTGTTACATGTTGAAAAATGAACAAACAAACAAATTGAATAATTATGGTGGACCAAAAAGTAATGACAGTTTTTAATCTTAAAATTTAAACAAATCAATATTTCAAACATCAATTAATTAGTTAAATTAATTAATTATGTTATTAATAAACTTTTTTCTATCTGGTTATTCTGCAAATTTTTAATATAATAATATAATTCTAATTTTGATAAAATATAAAACTCATCAAACTATTTTTTGATTTAAAATATTAGAAATAATTTGACATACGTAGTAACGACGCCATTACTTATTTTTAATATAATAATATGATTATAATTTTGATAATATATATAAAAATTATCAATTCATTTTTTGATTTAAAATAGAAATAATTTGACATGCGTAGTAATGACGCCATTACTTATTTTTAATATAATAATGTAATTATAATTTTGATAATATACAAAAATTATCAATTCATATTTTGATTTAAAATATTAGAAATAATTTGACATGCGTAGTAACGACGCCACATTACTTATTTTTAATATAATAATATAATTATAATTTTGATAATATATAAAAAT